TTCAGAAATTTGAAAAAAGCATTTAAAAACTCTAGGGAACTATCTTCACTACCACCTACCACCCCACCAGCAGACTGTCAACGACTGCAGCCTCAGCAGTCTGGGGAAGCTTCTGAGGGGCAGGAGTATTTCAAAATGGCTGATTCCAGTCACTAAAGGGTATCTGAGGACATGGTCAGTGCTGCACTCCCAGAGGAAGAACCTTTGGCTGCTGAAACGGTCTACTTGCTTTCAGTTTTAAAAGCACTCACACGGGGATAGGATATTTCAGACCGCAGACAGGGAGGGATCAGGTACACAAGCACTGGGCAAAAGGTTGGAGTGTTAGACCAGAGAAGGAACACTTGGGCCTCAAAGGGTCACATGGGAGCTACAAAGCTTGGAAGGGGGACTAGAGACCCAAATGGTTTATATGGCCACAAGTCAGTTATTTATTGAGCCCTTATACCTGCAAGATACAATGTCCAGTACTGCCCATGTTTTATCCCATGTTGATGTCTCAACAATTTTTTTTGCCCCAACAACTTTTTGAGGAGGATTGTTCACTGGTTTTCCCACAAAGGGGAAGGTGAGGTTTTAGAGAGAACAAAGTAATTTGTTTCAAATAAGTCACACAACTGGTAAATGTGGGGTCAGGATTTGAACTCAAGCATCTTGCAGTGACCTCCCCTCTTGCTTAATCCCTGACACCCTCCCAGGTCTCCCTAGGGGCCCAGGATGAAGTTGAACCCTACCCTCGAATTCAGTTCTCAACCCTGTTCCCTACCATAACCTCTGTGTCTTTAACAGGCCCAAGTCTCCAGAGATCTGTATTTGAACTCCAGCCCAAAGGCTGATTTCTGTTTTCCATCCTCTGACCATGCTTTGAACTTTGTTCTCCCTGGACACTAAGAGAGGCCTGTCCCTCTCCTCAGCCTCTGTCTGGGCTCTGACCACCTGCTAGACACCTCTACCTCTCTCTTGGCCCTTGGGACAGTGCTCGGGGTTCGTGATGCCTCTTGCATCCCTGGCACTTGATCTGTGTCCCTTGACCTTATCCCTCGGGCACAGTCCCAGTGGCTGGTCTCCTGACATACCTACCAAAAAAGAGCCACAGAGGCTGGCTGAGGTTGAGAGTTGTATTTGTTTGTTTGTTTGTTTTGTTTAAGCTCCTAGCTAGAGAGCTTCCTATGTGCCAGCCCTGGATTAATCTTGTCAAGCCAATTCCCTCCTGTAACCTCCCAGCAGTCCTGTGAGTAGCAAAGAGTTATTGCTGTCAACATGCTGGTCTAGTCCCGCACCGCAGGCTCTGCTGGTGGCTCCCAGAGCCCCGAAGCCCCAGACTCAAGAAAGCCTCTCTCCGGCTAGGAACCCACTCTGTTCCCTGTCTCCTGGAACTGGGGCTCGCTGCCCCTCATACTGCAGGGCCAGATACAGATGCTGTTCTGTTGTTCAGGTACTGTGGCAAGAAAATCACTTCCTTCCCTCTTCCCCTCCTCCATGGCTCTAGAGCCTGGCCCTTACCCAAAGCTGCCTTCACAGTGGCTCTTGGAGTCCCTCCATGCCTGTCTGTTCTGAGCCCTGCTGGCCAGCAGATTCCCATCACCACCATCCTGGAGCTTGATCATTCTGCTGTCTGTGGCTAAAGACACTTTTAAGAGCTCTGTGTGGGGAGGGTTAAGGGGGCCCAGCCCTTCCCTGCACCCCAGGCTCCTGCATGGTATACCAGCTACTGTAACACCAGAAAGCAGAAAGCAGTCCGTGCTTTTGAAAAGATAAATTGAATACAGGAGTGAGTTAAATGCGAGGAGCATCCCAGAGATTATCAACAGCAAAAGAGACATCACAAGCCCTAGGCTGAAGAGATAGAGGGCAGAGGCAATGTTATTGGTGTCCAGCATCTGGGGCCACCAAACAGACTCCAGAGGTAGAGACTAGGTCTGTCCATCAGGACCAGGCCCCATAAGAGAGGACCATCGAGGGGTGCTGGGACCAGCAGAGAGTTGCCACTGGCAGAGATGCTGCTTGAAGCAGACAGGCCCCCTGGGGTGGCAGGGGGACACAGCTATTTTTGCTTTCCCCATGGCCAGTGTCTCCTATGGATCCACCTACCAGGCCACCAGAGACCAAAGGAGCCTGGGAAACACTGTCCCCTGCAGTACAAAGTGAAGTAAAATGGCAGGAATGTGAGAAAGAGCAAATAAAATCCCTCCAAAGAAGGAGCTGCTCAGGAGAAACAGCTGTGACTCTTGTGCTGCCTTTGGTCCAGCTGCCCGGAGCTTAGGGTGGTCTTGTACCTCGAGCCGCTGCACAGAGCTCAGCTTCTATTCAGGCCTCAAGAATGTCCAGGTCCCTGAGACTGAGGGCAGGCTCACGAGACCAGGGGGCTCCTATGCAGGGAAGTGGCTGGGCCTTGTCCACAAACACGCACAGAGCGGCAGACAGGACCTGCGCGAGCATATCCCTGCAGCCCTTCTGAAGTTCCCATCAGAAGCATCACTGTGTTTATTGAGCACTACTGAGTGAGATGCAGGGCTAAGTGATTTACATCAGTATCTAACTTACTCTTCTGAAGGATCTTGGGAGACAGGCGCTGTGGGACTACACTGATTGGGAAGAAAACACAACCCAGTATCTAGTAGAAGCTTGAAGTAACATAACAGGAACAGGAGCATCAAGGGAAACAATGTTTCCCAGAGAGCTAAGGAAGAGTCATTGATGACTGATAAAAGTGATGAATAAAATGAGGACGCATACAGGCATTTCTCAGGGAAGATAAACTGATTCTTCAGAGCTTCCCATGCTGATGCAGAGCAGGGTCTGCTATAGATCACACAATGTCCACACAGATTTCCTAAACCAAAATAAAAAGAAACAAAAAAGCTGGTTTCTGGCTTCTCTAGAAAAATCAGAACGCCTGATTTCCTGTAGGGCACGTGTCCAGACCTGGTGGCAGCTGGTTGGAGCCAGGAGGCCGCAGCTCCCTTGACAGTGGTCAAGGGAGGTGGGGCTCTGGTCCAACCCAGTCCCCTCGGCTCCCCACTGTCTCTCACTTGGCCTGTCTCTCTCCAGGGCTTTTCAGGTGGCCCCAGGGTCTTCCCAGCCTTGGCATCCTCAATCACTCTGCTGGAAGAGCCCTGCTGCCACCTGGTGGTCATGGGTCACACGTTCCAACGAGATGCACACACCAGTAACACTGCTGGTCTAATCTATGAGCACTTTCACTGACCGTCTCACTGAACCCTCAACAACCCTGAGAAAAGGAATTTTAGGAATTATTGACCCAATTTACAGATGAAAAAACAGGAAAGGGAAGTTCAGAGATTACCAGTAATAAAGCAGATGACTGGGAGGCTCAGGTCAGAGGATCAAAAGTTCAAGCCCAGCCTTAGTAATTTAATGTCTTGGCAAAACTCTATTTCAAAAAAATTTCTAAGTAACATTTTTAACAAGCTAAGGAGATAGCTCAGTGAAAATTCCCTGGGTTCAACCCCTAGCGGAGAGAGAAAGAGGGGGAGAGAGAGACAGAGACAGAGACAGAGACACAGAAAGAGAGACTGAAAGAGAACAAACAAGGTTGAGTGGATAGATTGTTCAGGAGCCCAGGCCCCATGTTATTGCCAGTGAAATCCAGCTCCTTCCTTACCCCTAGTCCAGAGAATTTTGGGCTCGTTTCCCCACAACAGTTCCTGCAATGCATGTTAGAAGACAGGCCCTGGTGAGGACCCAAGGATCGCTTAAGATCAGCCAGAATCCTGCAGTTGGTACCCTTGGAGCCCAGTGGGAGAAGACAGGCAGCCTGAAGGCCACACATGGAGCCATGATAAGTGCATCTGCTACTTGTGGTCAGGTAGATCTTGGATCCAGGCTTCCTAAGGCCATGTGCTAGGTGTTTTTTATAACACCACACTGCCTTCCCAGGCAGGAGAAGCCCCTCTGGTTTTTGTACTCCCATCCTACCTATCCCGCAAGGCCCAGCACCAGCCCCTCTTCCAAGAAGCATCTGTGACCACCTCAACCTTCCCAAATCACCCCCCACCCTGTCTGAGTCCTCACAAGGCTCTTTGGCTGATGGCACTGTGCCCAAAGGGTCATAAGACTGCTTGAGAATTGCACGTCTGCAGCCAGCCTGGAGACTGCGTGGAGGACAGACTTTGGTGTCCCCATCCATTGTGACGCTTATCTAAGAAATATGTACTGAACATGTGTTATTTGTGGCACCTGACCGAGGCTTAGGGAGATTCTAAAATGAATTAGAGCTTCCTGGTCCTTGCAGAATGTGCAGTTGCCCGTGGCTACATTAGGCACCAGCCAGGGCCTGGCACTCTGGACAGTCCCAGGCATGCCACCCACCCCTCTGCTTCCAGCCCTGTGGTGGCTCCCTCAAAATACACCCAGAGCTTTCTATCACTGACCTTGCCAACTCACCTCCCTACCGCTGCCAGCACCACTGTATATGACCTGGGCTCCAGCTTGATGGCCTTGCAGTTCTTGGACATGCCACCCTTGTCATCTCTGGCCTTTGTGTGTGCTGCCTGGTCACTTTCACTTTACCCTGGCGCTCCTTGACCACCAGGCTGTCCCCTACCCGAGATCCTGTTTCTGCCTCATTTTAACTCTAACAATCCAGAAACTACTGCCAACTTGTCTGTTTCCCTTTCCCACCGTGGGCTGTGGTAGGTCAGGCCCAATGTGTTTGATGCTTTCCCGTATCCCATGCATCTAAATTCAATTCTTTTCCCCTTTTTTTTTTTTTTTTTTTTTTTAGACAGGGTTTCACCTTGAACTCACTTTGCAGCCCAGGCTAGCCTCGAACTTGTAGCAATCCTCCTGCCTCAGTCTCCTGAGTGCTGGGATTACAGCCATGTGCCATAAATTCAATTCTTGGAGACAACAATGGTAGCCAATTAAATGAACACATGAATGAGAAAGATGCCACTCTTATGCATGACAACCATCCAGGGAATGAATGTTATGTGAGACATCCAACTGCTGAAGTCACACAAATTCCAGAGACACTGTCATCTTTGAAGCCCTTTATTCCCAAAAGTTCACATCAGTTACTCAGTGAGTTCAACCAAGTAATTCATTCATCTTTCCCCAGACATTGCAATCATGCCCTCACATCCAAGACTGAGTTAGAGCCCCGAGGGTTAGAGACATCTCACTCTGCTGCAGAGGGTAGAGGTGCCCTTGTGGACCAGGCTTCCCCTCCTGGAAGTCCTGTGCAGCTCTTAGGAAGTATCTCAGCCAGTTAGCCCATGACAGGCCACCAGGGAAATAAATGAGGTATAGTACAATGGTCCTAGGCATGGGGTGGGAGTGGGGGGTAAAAAGGCACATTACACAGAGCCCCCTGGAGAAAATGCAGGCCGTTCTCCTTCTTCCCAATACACATTTTCTCACTCTTCACTGATTTTTAATCTCATCCCCTGGTCTATGAGAAACCATAACCCACATGCTACTGAATACATTTTTATGTTCCCTTCACAAGATAGCCTTGGTTCCACGCAGATTTCATTTTTCTCCCTTATGCCTACAAGAACATCCAATTTTGTTCAGGTCCCTTTTAATGGCACTTAATAAATATACATTCTGGGACCTGAAAGAACAGGCTGTCCTATTTCAAACTGCCTCCAGTGCTGCCTGTTTAAACAGCCTGCACAAAGCTCAGATGGGGCACATTTTAGTGTACCCCTTCCTATCTCTGATCCCAGGTCTGTGTGTCTACCATGCACGTCTAGGGCAGAGGTCCTCGGCCTGGCTGCACGTTGCCCACAGCCGGGGAGCTCCCTGAAGAGCAAAGCTCAGGTCACCCGAGGCCACGCCAGGAGCCTCTCTGGGTGAGCTTCTGGCTTGCATCATAGCTTAAAGCAAATGCAGTGAGCAGCCATGCTGCAAAGCCCCAAACCAGAGCCCCAGCACACAGTGGGCTCCCAGTAAGGATCTGTGTGACTCACAAATGCTTATCCTACTTCGTAACATATTCTCCTATGATCCCTATTTTTATCAGAAATCTGAGCAGGAAAGAAAAGAAAATGCATCCAGAGCATCTTGTGAAGTGAATTTAGGGCTGAGGAAGGGATTGTGGGGGCTGCGGTTCTCTGGCTTTATGCAGTCTTCATGCTTTAACAAGCTGAGAGGAGGCACATTACAGATTGTCTGACACAGACAAGTACATACTTCTCAAGAGCCCTTCAGATAGCAGAGCTCACAGTGTTAGGCACTCTAGTTATAACAGAGACATTCTTGGAAATGAATCTAATTGCCACCTATTCCACACACATTCTCACAGCGGCCAGTTCCAAATATGAACTATATGAAGATCCCAGTATGTCACTTTTTCCCCTTTCTGAGAAGCCTGCAATATACCCGGTCCCCGTGATGTACCCAGTGCTGCCCCAGCAGCCCGCCTGCCTGGGACAGGACACAGTTTGCAGGGTGCCATGGTTTCCAGGTTTAAGAAAGGGGTGAGTCACTCAGAGTTCAAGAGATCAGCCACCTAGGATATAGCACAGTCACATGCTGCATGCAGTCACCTATGGACAGCATGTCTGTCAGAGGTCCCTTTAAATAGTGTATCATCTAGCAGTCGTCTGGCTACTCTCTACGAGTACGCTCTGTGACAGTCCCACACACAATCTCTCAACAAATGTGTCTGAGAATGCAGAATCCTTGCTGCAAATCCACAATGAACACACTGAGAAAGAACCCTGATAGAGCCTGCGTTTCTACATCGGCAGATTACTTTTGCCGCCATGGGTACAAGCATGAGGGGTGGCAGCATGACCCTCCCATCTGCTGGTGGCCAAAGCCATCCTGACACCACTGATGGTACTGACTCTGGTGTCACATTTTATGGTTCCCAAGGAGCCTCTGCACCCTTGGCATCATGCCAGTCTCACAACCTGGGTGGGAGGAATGGAGTAGTGTCCTATGGCATCAAGGCCACAGTAACTGACCCTGGGAGGCAACCTGAAACCATGGAGTTCCCGGCTCTTTTATGCAGAATCAGGAAACTGTGCCATTGCCTTGCCTCCCCACCCACCAGCTTGGAGACGGCGTCCTCAGAGTTTCTGCACTGATTTGCAGGTCCTACTCCCGGGAAAATGGCAGCATGCTACAACAGGTGCCGGTGGTATTATTCACCTCACCTGACACACCATCAAAATCCCCTGTACCCTGGAGCTCCCTGGGAATTTTCCTACACATTCCAGAGCAGTGATGGCATCACACCCACTCCCAGGCCCAGGCAAGAGTCTCCTGGGAACCTCTCCACTGCCACGGAGAGGGTTCCCAGGGGTTAACTGTCCAAGATAACTCAGCTCCCAGCATGGAGAAACGAAAGCTGACCAGTCAGCCCTGTGTTCCCAGATTGCACACACAGGAAGTGCACGGTAAGGCCAGGTAGTCCTGTACTTCTCTAGTCTCTTCCCTGCAACTGCACAGGTGACACTCACCGGGGTGATAGCCAGGCCCAGACAGAGGCACAGGCAAAACTGGTTACAAGCTATGGCAAGTCCTGGCCATTCAGCTGTGACCCTAGGTGGCAAAGGCTCCCTTCCACAGACACAATGAGTGATCAGGGCCACCTACCCAGGCGCCTCCATTCACCTGGTCTGGTCTCCTTCGCCAATCCTGTACTTTCTTTGCTTCACTTCCTAACAGGGTCACAGCCTCAAAGCCCCTCCCATCCCTTGGCAATGCGGGCTCCAGGGAGGGCCCCCTATGAGGGCAGAGTCCAGCCCCAGGGGCTGGGGCTCGGGGCCCTGGCCAGGAAGCCAGAAGGCACGTATCCCCTCTGTCCATTCACTTCCACCAGGCTCCATTCGGGGTTGCCCTTCTTGTCGTGAGCCTCCAGGACGGTCACGGGTTGGCCTGGCTGCAGACTCACTTCGTGTGTGCTCCTGGCCACGAAGGGGTACGCAGCTACCACCTGCAATACAAGGCCAGTGACGTGCAAATGGTCAGTCGCAGAAGGCTGCTTAATGAGCTCCCATTCCACTCTGCTCCCCACGGCTGGGCATTCCCGCCTCCCAAGTTCACCCTTCGCACTATGAGAACAATTCCTGCTAGCGCCACAGCGAACCATTCCTACATGGATGGCACTCTTCCTGCACTTTTCTGGGTGTCTTTTTTCACATTTCTACCATTCTATTGGCCCCATTTTGTCAGATAAGGAAATTGATACTTGGAGAAGTCAAGGAACTTGCTCCAAATCACACAGCTATGAAAATAGGCCTGCTTGATCTCAGAACAGGGGTTTTCCACCCACTGTGGCCAATGGCTGAGCAGACTCAGCAGCCTGTCCCTCCCCAGACGTAAATGTGTCATCAATCCAGGCCAGTTCCCAGGTTGGAGGAAAATCAGGTGTGTGGATAACTTGGTTACTTGTTAGGGAAAAGCACCAAGCTGGAGAAAAAAAATGGAGGGAAGGGCACTTATTAAGCTACTATTTAACCTCTCTGGGAGAGCCGGCAGCGGGGCAGCAGCAACTTCAGGTCCTTCCCCACAGCGGTGGACCGGGCTGAGCTGATGAATGATCAGACCCTGGAGTGGGACTCCTAGGTGTCCTTTGCAGCCCCTGGTGCACTGCTGCTGGAGAAGGCCTGAGGCTCTTGGCCCTGACACCCGCGTGGTGGGTGCCTCTTCCGCAGGTGTCTCTGCAGCCTTTGTGCCTGGCCCACGGCACCCTGTGGCCTGTCCTCAGGGCCTCTGGCTTCTGGCCCATGCTGTCCACAGCCTTTCTGTTGTTTATCCCTCACCTATGAAGCACTCCCTGTCTGCTGGTTAGAGCCCTGCAGTCTCCAGTTAGGAAGCACACAGTGCACCTGCTGCCTGCCTGTTCTACCCACCCTCACGACTGCTCCGCTGGGCTACTTCTGTCCTCCAGGACTGCAGGGTTGGTCTGTCTGTCTGTCTGTCTGTCTCTCTCTCTCTCTCTCTCTCTGAATATAATTTACTTCCTCTAACATTTTAGCACACTCATTAATGTGTGTAACCTCTAATTTCAGAACATTTTTATCACCCCAAGAAAAAAACCCATTCTAGACAGCAATCATCCCCTCCTCCCTTCCCCTCAGCCTCCAGTCTGCTTCATCTTCCTGTGAATGTGCCTCCTCTGGACACTTATATAAAGGGATTCCATGATCTTCCTGACTTTTGTGCCTGGCTTCTTTCACTTAGCATGATATATGCAAGGTTCACCCAGGCTGAAGCCTGTATTGCTGCTTCATTCTGATTATGACTGAGTAACATTCTACCGCTTACGGGGTTCTGTTTATCCATTCCTACTGATGGGTGCCTGGGTTGTTTCTGCTTTGGGGTTGTCTTGAATAATGCTGCCATGAACTCACATGTACATATTTCCCATTGCTTTTAAAAGAAAGATTGACACCTCCACATGGTCCTGCTGGCTGCTCCTGTCCACCTCATAGGCAGCACCTTGCTCCACCCTGCCCATCTTCCCTCATCCATGTACATCCATGCCTGTCCCCTCTGTCACTGGGCCTTTGCATATGCTGTGCATACTTCCTGGAGAGCTCCCACCACCTGTACCCTGGTACATCCCTTACCCATCTTTCCTGTCTAAGAAAAAGTATCACTCTTTCCAGAAAAGCCTCTCTACATCTCAGGCTCTTGCACCTATCTGCCCTAATAACTACAAATGTTCATGCAATTATTTTACCAATCACTGTTTTCCCCAGATCATAAGCGTGAGAAAGGCAAGGGCTGCGACTTACTTTTGTTCATTATCACATCTTACAGCTGGTGCTATATTGGAAACTATTAATGAATGACTAGACGCATGAATGCATGAAAGAAAGAATGAATTCTGCTTGCCCTATGATGAGGGGCGAAGGTTAGCTCTCTGTTAACAATGTGGCAGGGACAGAGGCTGCTCTCTCCAGGTCCCACCCTTATCCGAGATAGAGACACTGTCACTAATCAAAACCCTGGCCTTACAGGGTGGCAACCTCTCCAGATGTGAGGAACATGGATCTGGACAGAAATGAAACTCCGAGCCCCAGACCAGGCAGCTGAGGGAGCCAAGCGCCCAGACTCACCTGCGTCACAGCTGGGACAGAGGGCGCTGGGGTGGGGGCAGGCTCTGGTGCTAGACGGTGAGAGCCGCGCCGCAGCTCTGCCTGTCCTCTGAGCTCCTCACTGGGGATGACATGGTACAACTGCAGTTTCCCAGCCGGCACGTAGCCCCGATGTCCTAGGGAAGGAGCAGAGTTATCTGGTTGCAAGACACCTTCGACCCCTCTCCGCAGTGGGGAAGGTCAGTGGCAGTGAATGCTTCCAATCAGGCTGCTCTGCACTCTTGCGGACCTGGCAGCCCTGGTGCTCACTGCTCCTAGCGTCCGTTTGCTCACCTCCAGCAACAGAAGATTCATTTCCTACCGGGTGAACTACTACATCTTAAACATCTCTTAAACAAATAAAAACCAGATAGGAAATCTGTTTTCTGGGTGTTGACACCACTGGACCCTGTCCCTCTAGGGGCCACCTGGAGCAAGGTTGCTTCCCCACCCCAGAAAGGCCTTTCCCCTTAGGCTGAGACTGCTCCTCCCCAGGAGTCCCTGCTGCTTCTCACACATCAGCTACTCCAGTGCCATTCCGCCTGCCGCACCACAAACTGCCATCCCTCCCCGCGGGTGCCAGGTGCCAGACCTGACCGACATGTGGTGCCACAGTCTTCATGGTCTGCCGGCATCGTCAGCTCAGTAGGGGGAGCTGCTGAGCTCAGAGGAGCTCCATGACTTCCCGAAATCACGGTTAGGCGCGCGGCCAAGCTGGGATCCAGGCGCAGTCCTCGAGATCCCGAGGGCCTCCTTGCTTTAATACTCCTTCCATTATCTCCCCACTTAAGTCCTCAGAGTGCTCTTTTATGATTTCTGCCTGTTTGTATCACTTTCTTAATTTTTAAAATTGACTGACTTTTAGAAACTTGGTCCTGTACTGTATAATAACTTGAATGCAATCATGGGCTTAATGTCTATTTATTCTTTTCTAATATACTTTAAAACAATTTGGAATGATAACAAACCATCCAGCGGAGAACAGAACTGCCTATAGGACCCCGAATGATAATTCTGTCAACCCTCAGTGTGTGAGCCATGTGCCCATGTCTGGAATAGGCCTAATAAGGCCATCTTATCATCCCACATTCATGGGGCCACCAGCCTTCAGCCCGGTTACACAGGGGCACCCGAACCTGAGCAGCAACCCCAAGGCCAAGGCCATGACCAGTAGGGAGGCTGAGGCACCCTCACTGCCCTCACTGTGGACATGTGATGCCTCTTCCTTTAGCTAGGACCAAATATCCCTTCTCTGCGCATGTCTTTGTCTTTCAGGGGGCCGCTGAAGTTCCCACCTCACGGCTGCCCACCATGATCGCCTGTGAAGTCCACAGTGCTGGGATTCCTCTCATTTCCACAGCACCCAGCACAGCGGAGCTCGAGGAAGGCTGCTACAGCAGAACAGTGAATCCTTCTTTCCGGCCACCACGTGCCACTGAGTCACAGGAAGCTTCCTGTGCCTGAGCCCGCATCTGTCACTCGCAGCCAGACTTGGCTCACAAGAGTGCCTGTGTCTCCCCACCAGCTTTGGCTGGAGTGGTCTTCCCAGAAGGAGAGGAAGGGCTCCCAGAGGACCACATACCTCCAGTGTCCACCAGCCAGCGGCTGCTGTGGCCTTTGGTGTCCTTGTTTTGAAGGAGGGCCACAACCTGGCCCCGTGGCAGTGTCAGGTCCAGAGTCCCTGCTCCACTGATGTTGCTTGTCACCTGGTAAAGCTTCCCAGGGCCATACTTGTTCAGAAGAGCCTGCACCTGGCGTTCAGAGCCTGGGAGGAGCGGCTGTGAAGGGAGGGACAGAGACAGATGCGGGAGCTTGGGTTAAGAGTCGAGGCCAGCGCCAGCATGTGCTGAGAGCCAGGGGTCCTGCTGACCCTGCCTTGCTCCTGCAGGGTCCATCTCGACTGGGCAGCCATGCCATTACTAGCAGATGGCTGCATCTTAGCATCCAAAGACATTTGAGAAGAGACATCTAGCATCCGGGACTCTCTAAAATACTAATTCAGGTTCAGTTCTAGAACTGTTGGATCTGGGTCCTGCCTTTTGCCTCTAAAATCAAGCTAAACTATCCCAGAGGAAAATGCCCACACAGGTCTCTCAATCCTTCTCCATTGTGCTCCAGGGGGGCACCAGGCCTCCTCAGATGGCTTGGGACTGGCTTCTGTGGAGGAGGGTACCCAGCCTGTGAGCTCCAGCCCCAAGTATGTACTGAGTACCTAACAGGCACAAGGCCTGGCATCTGCTCTGTGAGTGACGCAGCAGAATCGCAGGAGAGCTGCTCACAGGGAGCTGCTGTCTGGGGAGAGTAAATCAGGATGCTCTCAGCTCATCCGAAACTCTCCTGCTCTTTCCTTTGTTTTGCTATTCACTGTTTGTGACAAAAACATCAGCACAAAGGACTCAAAGGGGTGACTGTCCCCTCTTCATAAAATCAATGGGACACTAAATATGTTAAATATATATATAAGTACTCCTTTTTAAATTTATATATGTACATGTAGAATATGTGTTTATTTACCACGTTCTGTACAGTTATTTTGCTGGGGGGAGATGTTCAGTATGGAGCAGGCAGGGGTCCATCAGGGACATGTGGGCAAAGATTTGCCACATCCTTAGGACAGGGCTGGGAATATAGCCCAGGGGTAGAGCCCTTGCCTCAAAGGTGTAAGGCCCTGAGTTTGATCCCCAGCACCACAAAGTTAAATAATCAAACAAGGCATTAAAAATCAAGCCAACCCTTTGTTCCTAAGCAAATCCTTAAACAGAAGGGCAGGGCTGGGGCCCATGTTTTCAGCCAGCGGAGCCAGAAGGTTTTTTCTGAGTGGTGCTGGTATGGCTAGCATGCGGGCTGTGATGTGGCAGACAGCTTGCTTCTTCCCCAAGTCTGTCACCCGCCTTGGACTGCTCCTCCCCAGGCCAGATCAGCCAGGGAATCACAGCTCTTCGAGGGCACGGTGGCCATACCACTGGGATCACGGGTGTTTCCATTTGTTTCTTCTGCTTCTTTTTTTTTTTTTTTCCTGCCTCATTTTTTTCTACAATAAAGATGGATGGCTTTTCCAGTAAGAAAAGTGTTTTTATAATTCAAGTAGAAAGACAGAGGAGAGTCCTGGCATGTGTCGTGGGGCTGCTACTCGCTGTTTTCTGCCCTTCCCTTGTCCTCCAGTTGCAGGGCCATGGTACCTCCTGGGGAGACCTCCATGGGCCCAGCTCTTACCACAGGGCAGGCAGTGGGGACAGGTGTGGCCCCAGGGCCACCCCCTTCCCCTTTGTGGTGACACTAGTCCTCCGTTCTCTGCTCTTTGGCCAGGAATGAAGGCCACCTTCCTCTGTCTGCTTTGCTGGCCCTTTACCTGTTTCTCTGTGTCCCTGGCCCTCTTTCCCTTTCTGGGGACTCACAGAACCTTCTCGTGACCTTTAGCTTCACATTGCATCTGCGAGTGAACATTTTTCTCAAATCTGGGTTTGTCACTCTGGGAGACCCGCCCCCCTCACACACACACACACACACACACACACACACACACACACACACACACACACACACAGTGCTCTGGTTACTTTTACAACACACAAGCTGGGTACAGGGTGCACATTAGCAATTCCAGAGACTCAGGAAGTCGAGGCAGCAGGATTTAAGTTTGAGGCCAGCATCCAACTTAGCAAGGCCTTGTCTGAAAATAAAAATGTTTAAAAATAGCTAAAGAAGTAGTCCTGGATTCAACACCTAGCGCCAAAACAAAAAGCCATACAAACAAACAAACCTCTGCCAAACAAACAAACAAATCTCAAAACCCAAAACCACATATATCACCCAGGAGCCCTCTTCGAGTGGACTGGAATATGCCTTTCCTGGTACAGTGTTTTTTTGTTTTGTTTTGCCTTTTTGAGACAGGGTCTTTCTATGCAGTTCAGGCTGGCCTTGAACTCACTTTGTAGCATAGGTTGGCCTCAAACTCACAGCAATCCTCCTGCCTCAGCCTCCTGAGCACTGGGATTACAGGTGTGTGCCACCCATCTGGCCTCCGTATATAGTATTATAAAGGAAAATATTTTTTTAAAAACTTGGCCAGCCAATGATTTACAAGCCATCATGTAGGTGCTATGGTGTCATTTGCAATTTAAAAATAACCATCTCAAAAGGAAAATTTAAATGACTGTGTAGTGGTTATTTATTTTGAGAGTGTTGATACTGACAGTGGTGTTAGAAGGTAGTGGAAAAAGGAAACATTTTGAGAAAAACTGGAGAACGTTCCAGATTCTGGCATGTTCACACCAGCTGCGCATTCTTTTGTCTAGTTTCGCTTTAACAGTGAAATATGTGGGGCTAGGATTTAGCTCAGTGGCACAAGCACCTGCCTTGCAAATGTGTGGTCGAGAGTTCGATCCCCGGTACTGATAAAAAAGAAAAAGACAAAAAAAAAAAAAAAAAAGGAAACAGTGAAATATGTGGGTTCGCTTATTCTCAAGCCAAGAGTTCCGTGTTGTCTCCGCTTACCTCCATGAAGGGGCAGGGATGGAGTTTTCACCTCCCCCAGCCTAGCTTGCGGAAAGGAGAGAGGGGAAGAGAAAACGTTTCCACGAGTGACAGATAATATTGGAGCAGGAAAAAGGAGAGGAGAGCACAGGGAGCCTCAGTCCACTGGCAGGTGAAGAGGCGGCCAGTTGTGCGGTAGGGAGGACACTTACTTGTGAGGTGGGAGGCGGCAGCACTTTCTCGAAGTTCTCTTGAAAGGAGCGAAGCTGTTTACTGGTTTGGCCTATCGCATCCTCCACCAGCTTCCTGAAGGCCGGCTCGGAGACGCAGTGGTGGGGCAGCTAGGTGGGACAGACACGTAAACAGGAGACGGGAGGCACAGAGTCCCTGGCCACCAGCACTCTAGCCCCAGGTAGTACACTGGCCACTTCCATCACAGTCAGCTGCTGTTTTTGTCTGACCGCTGGCCCACTTCCCTACAAGAAAGGGTCCTCTTTGGGGTCCAGCATTACTGCCCATCATGGTGCTGAAGCCGCAGGGCTAGAGGTCCTGTTATGCTTTCTCCGAACCAAGTGATTGTACTCGGGATGACAATGGGCCCAGGTGAGGCCAGTGGGAACTTGCTCATCAGAGCCCTCATGCAAAGGGTCACTTCCTTTGCTTTACAGGGGGGAAGGTACACACTTGCAGCTCTCCCTAGCCATCCTCCCTGTGCAGAACTAATGCCTGGTAGAAAAGAAAGCCAAGCAGGACAAAGAAACAGAGCCAAAGACAAAATTAAAGCCAGAATCCCAAAGCTAGGCATGACGGTGCATGCCAATCATCTCAGCACTCGGGAGGCTGAGGCAGGAGGGAGGGTGGCCATAAATTTAAGACTAACCTGAGTTACACAGTGAGTTCAAGACCAGTCTGAACTACATAATGAGACCATATCTAAAAAAAACCAAAACAGAGTCTGGCAGTGTCACCTGTCCTGCTAGATAGAGGGGGTACCTGAGCCTCACGCCACTCCTGGCCTCCTGCTGTGCAGATTGTACACTCTTCATGCTCCTGCTGCTTTGGTTTGCATTTCTGTAACTTCTGTAACATTTCTATGACCCAAGGAGTTCTCAGGAACACCATCCTGAGACCCTGAACCTGTTAAAGATCTTTAGACTCCTTGAGGCTCCAACAGCCCAGCTGTAACTAAGACCTATCCAGCTTCACTACTCACAGATACACCCAACTTTCTGAGCTGTCACCAGACTTGTTATTCTTGGTTCTGACCCAGAGCCATCCTCCCCTCAGCTGCAGAGTTGGAACTTCCTGCCACGCAGGCCTCTCCCTAGTGCCATAGGTACAGGTCCCAGGGAAAAAGAGTACTAGGAACAGAAAGGTTCCACAGTCCCCGATGGGCTCTCACAGTGCACAAGACAGGACCAAAAGGGCCCTCACTTTCTTGTAAATGTCACCTTCCCCTCACGGCATCCCTAGCTCTGTGCATCCCTGTACACAGTCCTGACCATAGGAAAGTGAAAGATAGCGCAGTCAGATTCGCTCTTCTGTTGCTGGGAAGGAGAAGCCCAGGCATAAACCAATTCTAAATGAGCATGTGTCTGAGACAAAAATTTGCATTCAATGCTGGAAGGACCAAGAAGAAGCAAAGCTCCTGGTGCAGTCTTCCTGCGGCTGGGAAAAAACCCCTCCTCCAGGACTCTGGAGCAAGCACGCTCAGGGGAGCACTGAGGAGTTCATCCCAAGGGCTATGGGAGCATAGAGGATGGGAAGATGAGCTCTCCTACACCCCTGCTCCAGAAGGGGAATTCAGAGAGCATCATGGACTTATCCCTGTTAGACTACAGCAGACCTTGATGGGCAGGGAGGCATCTCAGGCTAGGAGGAATCTGAGCAAAGAGGACATGGAAACCCTCAGACATGGTGTGCTACATGGGGCATTCTCCAAAACAGGCCACATACTAGCTCACAGAATGTGCTTAAATAAATGCAGAAGAACTGAAATTATCTCATGCATATCGTCAGACCATAGTGCAATGAAATTAGAAATCAACATCAAAAGAAACCATGAGAACTTCATAAATACATGGAAATTAAATAGCGCCCTCCTGAACAACCAAAGGTCACAGAGGACATTAAAGAAGAAATTAGTTTCTACGATTAAGTGACAAGGTCAATGCAATATACTGGGACTTACGGGACACGAGAGCAGTCCTAAGAGGGAAACCTATTCCAGTGAGTTCCCACATCAGGAACACAGAAAGTGTGCTGGAGGGAGGGGCTGTGGGCAGAGAGTTGGGTACCAGCCCAAAGGGTGAGAGGGGCCAGGGAGGCAAATCCTGCAGGCAATTTCACGCAATGAATTAGGTGGGTAAAGCTGAGCGCAGAGATAAGATACCCAGGAGACAGCAGGCAGGGTGAGGGGCACTGAGACCGCTCCCGAGGCCCACGCCTGAGCCATGCCACCCAGAAGCTGACATCACAGAAAAAGCAGAGAAGAGGCTGGGTCCTCCTTGGGTCAACTCGAATCTCCCAAATTCTAAACTGCAACTTGAAACCTCTCGGAACCTATTTATGCTTTCAGCTGGCAGCACCTTATGCATGCTATTGAGAATTCTCAGCACACACCAAGCTCTGAACTGAATGGGCAGGACTCAAAATCCATGACCAGCTGTGTGACCCCTGCATAAGCTACTCAGCCTCTCTGAGCTTTGTTTTGGTTCTTTCCTTTGCAATGAGGCTGACCATATTACTCACTGTGCAAAGTTGTGATGAAAATTAAATAAAATAATCGTGTATGTAGTGCTCCAAACAGATACAGAATTATGCTCATGAGGAAGTGGCTTCTAGAAGCAGCAGTAGTAACAGCAGCTTGAGACATTTACTGTACTTCTATGTAGAAAGGCACGTTTGTCACCAACTTGCAGTATATTCTGATTTCCCAGTGCTCCCGAGTCCCAGAACCTGGGAGGCCCTGGAGTCCCAGCCTTATCCTAGTGGGGTGTTTTGTTTTGTTTGTGAGACAGGGTCTTTCTATGCTCTCTATGCAATACAGGCTGGCCTTGAACTCACTTTATAACCCAGACTGGTCTCAAACTTACAATGATTCTCCTGCCTCAGCCTCCTAAGTACTGGGATTTCAGGCATGTGCTGCCATGCCCAGCTTTATCCTAGCTTTTATGGCCCAGCTTCACTAAAAGAAGGAGAAGAAGCCCCTCATCATTACTCCTTCTAGGCACTGGATAGCCTGTTTGGAAGGCTCAGCCTCCCTATCTCGCACTCCCACACACACACATGGAAGAAGGGGTTGAGGCCTTGCCTGGCCTTGCCCCAGAGCTGGGGCAGTGCCAGCTGCCTACCTGAGCTATGCTGCCCTCTGCCTTCTGTAGCACTTGCTCTGCGAGATCCCTCTGCAGGGCCACGAAAGTGCGCAGGATCTGGCTCAGCCACTGCACCACCAGCTGGTTAAACTGCGGGAGCTCAGCCACCAGCAGCGAGTTGAGGGCCTGGTATGTGTGCCGGGCAGCCTCCTCCTCATAGGTCACGCTGCCCACTTCCAGCAGCTTCTCCTCCAGCCTCTCAAAATCCAAGAGTTTATCTAGACGCTTCTTGATCAGGTTTCGGGGGCCAACCAGGACTTTGGCCAGGCTGTTCAGAGGGCACCACACCAACCCTTCCAGTCGTCGCTTCTGGGGGAAGAGGGCAGCTTAGGAGCCAAGAAAGGAGATGGCAGAGGGCAGGACTAGGGGAAGAGGCACTGGAGGCAGGTTGCCTGTGCTTCCAGTCCCCATGCCACTGACTGGGCATGACCTGTAGCATATAATCTAATCTGTCCAGGCCTTGATCTTCTGGTCCAAAACACGAATGGCTTGCAATAAGCTCACCAAAAGTACCTGGTACAAAGTAGGTACTCAATTATGCCACTTCTCGGTATAATATGCAAAAACCTTGTTATTTCTATTCTTTGGAAGGTATTAGGGATTAAACCCAAGGAAATGCTCCATCACTGAGCTACAACTACAGCCCATGTGCAGAGGTCTTGAAAAAGATTCTGCATAGAGTGGCAGTCAAAAGCATAGTCCGGGAGTCAGCACTCTGGACTACTGACCTTCTGTATAAAGGACCCAGCAGGTCATGCTCTCTGAGCCTCTAGCCCCCTTCTGCAGAATGGAGCTATTTACAGGAGCTCCCAAAGGCGTGTGATGAGGGGGAATAAGGTAAAGAGTGTAAAGGACTTACTTAGCACAGCACCTGGAAGAGGATGAGACTCAATAACACTACTGTGGCTATTTTTATCAGAAAATACACTAATACTAACCCCTACCCTGCACTAATACCAACCTCTACTAAAGTGATTATAGATGTGACAATGGTGTCTAAATATTGTACTTGTAGGCTCTGCCATCTGCCTGACACAGAAAGAAGAAAGGAGAAGTCCTACTCACAAACTCCAGGAAGGTCTCGTGCTGGTCTCTGGCCAGGCTACAGTACTGCACCGCAGGCCCACTGGGGATGTCCAGGTCACATTCATGAGGCCGGAAGCGAAGGAAAGCCTGGGTGTGGGGCCAGGAAACATGCAACCAGAGCTCACATCCTCTGCCTGAATCCCCTCCAGCAGACTTCTCAAAGAGGGCCTCCAGGCAATCTGCTCACCCCCACGTCAGGGAAGCACACAGCCTTTTCCATCCTGCACAGTGTGGGTGAGTAGAAAGTTCTCCCCAGACTGAGTCAATGTCCCAGTGACCCCCTCAAGTGCTTCCTGACTTCATATGCCAGCATACTGTGATAGTTTTATGGGTTTTTTGGACCATGTTTACACTCTGTATGTGTTGATACTTTTCTTTAAATTAATTGCAATTTAAATCAATGCACCAAAAAACCCCAAACTTACAATGCTGCCACAAAGTAAAAACTAGTAACACCTGCCATCAACAGGCATGTGAAAATAATTGCTATAAAAACAAAACAATGTTATTAAATTCTACCTGCTCACCACTGCTTGCTGAAGTCCCTGGGACTCATCCTGCCACTTGTCCTGCAGGTATTAAAGACAAACTAGCGCAGAGGCTTTTCTTGGACTTGGTCAGAGGGCTGAAAACAGGAATTTCTTTTTCACTCTGGAATTTCAGCTAACGACATATCTGCACCTAAAGAAACACAGCCTCAATGCTTCCAAATATTCACCTGCCTGGCAAACGCCCTCACATCTCCCTGTAGGGGCCTGATACCTGCAGGTCCCTCCCTTCTATTCCATGAGCTGGTTCAGAACCCTGCCCCTTCCTGCTCAATGCACTACAGTGAGATCCTGGTTGTTCAGATTCTTCCACTGGGGGCCTTGCATAGAGCAGGCATGAGCAGGGGCACGGACCCTGACACACGGAGCAGTGTGGAACCATGGCCGCCTTCCTCTTGCATGCTTCCAATAATGCCACCCACCTTGCATTATCACAGAGCCATTATCATCCATGACGGAGCTGATCTCTGCAAATGGATGTGATTGACAAACTCGTTCCCCAAGGGGTGGAGTGGGTAGGATGAGCCACCACAGTGACACGGAGGAAGGGGGACTCTGGCCCAGGAAAGTGATGTCCTCAGCAGACATACAAACTGGTGGCCCTGTGGGCTGCATTCAGTTTGAAGACAGGTGTCTTCTTCAGCCTGTGTAGCATCTGAATTTTTATCTAACCTGCTGCTCATGCTAACACATCAGGGTATTTCAACTAAAAACCTGAATTTCCAGAGTCTGGTTGCTGTTACTACTATTTTTAATCGAAAAACTGGTCACACCAGACCTACATTCCCACACAGCAATAATATCCCAAAGTCAAGTACTTTAGATCATTGAGCCACCTGAATTTCATGCATGAGTCTGCTGAACGTGTTTCACAAACAGCTTGTTGGAGGTGGGGCTCCTATTTTGTCACATTGTATCCCCTGCATACCTCACTCAAGTGAAGTCACCTGCCTACATCTGAGTTTGTCTCCCTGCCTGTAGGTGCTGGTGCCTGGAGAAGGAGGTGAGAACCCAGTGGATTGTGGCCCAACCCAGTGGAGCTGCTCTTGGGTGGTGGCCCTGGTGGGGAAGGCATTGGACAGCACAACTGACTGGGTGACCTCATCTACATGGCCCTGACACAAGGCATGACCTTGGCACCAGCCCAGACCTACCCCTTGGGACTCCACAGGGTCCTCACCTCCAGGTTATCCAAGTAAGCGGCCACATTGTTCTTCAGTTCCGTCACACACAGAGACACCCACTGGAATCTCTCCTCTAAATCATCGAAGTCTTTGTCTTGCGTCTGAAGCGAAGCATTGCATGTGAGGACTGAGAGGATCCGCATGGGGGCAGTGTCTAACCAGCTCCCTTGTCCCAAGGCCTCACTGGGGACAAGCTTTCCACAGACCAACCCGCCAGAGCTTGATCCTCCAGCCTTGAAGCTGAGTGGGACAATTAAAAAGACAGGGTGGCTCAGCGGTTTTTCATTTGGATCATGGAATCTGACACGTGAGCATGTGACACATTTGCTTCCGAGCAGCATCGCCTCGGGCATGTGTTTATCCCTTTCTGAGCTTGTTTTCTCATCTATCTGCAAAACCAGTTTCATTGTATGGATCCAATAACCCTGGTTAAAGGGAAACACTCAATCAACACTACCAGGAGCTCTGTTTGCACAAACTCAGAGCCCAGCTCTCTCATCTACAGAGAAGCCCCAGAAGAGGGGCGGACTGTGGCTCTTCAGAAACAGGTGGGTCTTCTTTGGGCACCTCATTATCTCAGCCTCAGCTGCCTCGCTTCAGAAAGGAGTCTCAGGCTCCCCCTCACCCACTGTACAGGTTTAGGTCCCTAGGGAGGATCTGAGATGACTCCCCACCCAAGCCATGCTCACCCTGGGTACAAGCCCAGCCTCCTGCTTTAGCATCTGGCTCAGTCGGTTGGTTTTCTTGGAAAGGGTGTGCGTGTTGATTCTGGCCAGTCGCTCCCGGAGGGTCAGCTGCTCCACCTTGGTGTACTTGGAGGCTGCACCAACACAGGAAAGGGAGGACACCTTCAGTGACCAGGGTTGATCCAGGAAAGCCAGCACCCCTGACACACTTGCTGGTCCCTCTGCTCCATCAGGATTCATTGCTGGAATGGGGAGTCACGGAGTCACATAAGGGCCACTGCTTGGGGCCCTCTGTTGCAGGTGTGAGCTTCCCACCTGCCTGATCTTGGCACGTCACCACTCCTCTGGGCCTCAGCCGCCTCATCTGTAAAATGATCTGGCCACCTTGCAGAGTTGCTGGGAAGATTACATAAAGCTGAAGGTATGAAGGGATGTCATAGAGGAGGTCCCAGGAAGTAGCAATTTGTCGGAGTCCCTTGGACAGTTTTGGCCAGGCCAGCTGGAAGCCACACTTCCAGCCCCGGCTCAGTGCTTTCTACTCATCTGCTGCCTGTCATCATGGGTGGAGAAACGAGTAGGGAGGAATCCAAAGACACCAAATGTAACGTGGCATGCTGATGAAGGCCCCAGGCCTGAGTGTGAAACCTGGCCCTGTCCCTTACCAGCCCTGACAAATGAGGCAAGCTCTCGTTTTACCAAACTGTGAAACAGAGTTAACAGGCCCAACCTCAGAGGCTTAGCATGAGTCCACTAAGATAATGAAAGAAAAAAATGTTGCTTAATTAGTTCTCAAAAAAATCAACTGATCACTACCCTGTTTGTTCATTACAGACTGTGTACATGTGTTGAATTATCACAGTACCCCATAAATATTTGTATAACTGAAATAATAATTTGAAAAGGAAATATCAGCTAAAGTATCATGATCATACTGTCTCTGTGTGCAACTAAGTGTCTCTGTACTTGGGCAACTGCTCAGTTTTCCAAATCTTTCTATTGCAGCAGCCGAAAATACTGGCCTCACTCCAGGATTCATGGCTCCTCCACACGGTAGCGGCCACGTGGTTTGGAGAGGGTTGACCTCCCTTTGGCTCACAGGGTAGGTGCTCACTGGAATAAACCAATCCACAGAAACCCACCTCCTGGCAGTGTGGCTGGACCAGCAGTGATTGGCATACTCCCAGGCCTCAGCTAATCAGCTCATGGCAATTTCCTAATGGTAGTGATGGCTTCACGGTGAGCACACGGCCTGTGAATCTTCACACGATGAAGGGCCAATTCAATTTTTATGGCTAACAGAAGAGTTTTAGAACAACATAGCCACTTGATACTCTTAGAGGACACAGCTTGAAGATAAAGCTCATATTAAGGGCAGGGACAAGAGAATCACAGGAAACTGAAGCTATGGTCTTGATCAAGTCAAACCTAAAGTCTGTATTACCTCTGGATTACAAATGCCACAGCATTTTCTTTGCTTGGGAAGCCAGTGTGCTGTCAGGTGTTTGTAACCGAAGCGTTCTCACTGATGTAACCTCTAAGTGCCCCAAGTCCTTACCCACTTCCTTGCGCATCTTGTACTCATTGATGTTGGCATTCACGTCCTGGAGGGCAGAGGTTGCCCTCTGAAGGACAGGGTAGGCACTGTCATCGGGGAGTGTGTTCTCCAGAATTTTCTGCAGCAACAATGGGTACTTGGTAATCCTCTGCAGAGGAATTACCAGTATGAAACTGAGGCCTGACGATCCAGCTTGTGGCCTAAGGGAGAAGGCTGGTGTTAGGCAGGTAAAGCCCACCGTTCAGGGCACCAGGGGCCCTGGGATGCGTTTGTACAGCCCCAGGCAAGTCACTCTCTCCCCGTGGCCCTCACTGTCCTCCTGAGAAGTCTAGATGGGCAATGTCAGTCCCAGCCTTGCTTCCCATCTGTACCAAATCCAATGGTGCATTCTTTGCTCTCAGCTTACTGACCTCTGACCTCTGCCATTTTCCTTTGAAGCACATTCTTCCTTCAGCCCCCGAGACTCCTGTGCTCTGCTTCTCTTCACTGCTTTCTCTGCTGCCCGGCTCCAACCCTGGGGAGGATCCTGGAGTCTCCTCTCCACTCACCAACTCCCTTAGTGACCTCATTTGGTCCAATGGTTTTAAATACATCCCAGACCTACATTTCTACCTCCAAGTTCTTTCCAGAGCTCCAGATTCACATATTCAACCCCCCGCTCAACATCTCTATTCTGATGTCTCAAGCACAACTCTCTGTTGAGTATCCATAGGATATTTCACTTGCTAAAATGGCCTGCTGCTTTCCAAGAGTTTGGAGGTCCTAGCAAGGGAGTGTGACTACTCAGGGACCCTTGGTGAGGAACTGGTCCTCCTCTATGTGAGGATTGGCCGGGGGGCGGGGGCAGTCAGTCATCCTCTTTGATCAAGTGTGTACCTTTGCGAGGGACTCACATGGGGCAGTGAGGGAGTTTTTAGTTACTTTTATCCCACTGCTGAGGCAAAATACCTGCCACCCAAAGTTAAAGGGGGAAAGGTTCATTTAGCTCAGAGGTTTCAGTCCATAACTGACTGGCTCCAAGGCAGAGTGGCTTGGCAGAGGGGGATCACAAAGGAGAACCAAAAGATGGTAAAAGCAAGCAAGCAAGGGACCCCAATAGAGTCTTTTTTAACCCTTATGTTTTATCCAAGCTATTTAGGGCGGGCAGCACTCACGTCATTAATCCTAGTGCCCTTGAGCCTAGCACTGCATCAGGAATAAATTCCAGACTCACACACTCCAGATTCAGCCACCTCTGAAAAAGTCCCACCTGGGATCACATGACACTTTGGGGAGGACATCTAGACACAAGTCACAACAGGGAAGAGGGGACACCAGCCAGGCCAGCTAGATCAGCTGAATCAACCCAGGTGATCAACACAGTAACAGATATTACAGCCAGATTGCCCTTACATCCTATACTGCTGCTATTTACCTGTTTTGGGTTTTTCTGAGACATGGTTTTGCTATGTAGTCCAGACTGATCTTGAACTCACTATATAGTTCAGCCTGGTCTTGAACTTGCAGTGAACATCCTGCTTCAGCTTCCCAATAGCTGAGGTTACAGGTATGTGCCACTCACTGTGCCTGGCCTCTGCTGCTTTTCAAAATCACAGGAATTTAATTTTTCAAGATGAATTTAAGGTATAAATAATGTATGCTTTAGTATAAAGTTATAAATATCTATATTATAATGAAAACTCATAATTCTTGTAACTTCTTTTAAATAGTTAAGCACTTAAATAGTGGAAACAAAATGTGAACTCTTGCTCAGTTTAGGTGGCAACATGGGAATGTTGTATTATCTTTATTTTATTTTATTTTATTTTATTTTATTTTATTTTTGTACCAGGGATCGAACTCACGATCTCGCATTTGCCAGGCAGGCGCTTATGCCACTGTATCCTACTTTTTTAAAGGTTTGAGATTTTTATTAGAAAAACAGAACAAAGCACTGGGATGAATGGTGTTGAGATCCATTCCAGATGCATCCATGATGGGTAGATGACCACTTCTGAGCCCCTTCTTGATGTCTGGAATTTCATCAGGAGCCCCCTAAGTCAAAGGCAACTGGGGACAGACACCAATAAGCTTATCTTAACTATGACTGGTTTCTGGGAAATGCACAGAATTTCCGCCTGTAACCTCCAGGTGTACTGCCTGTAAGAAGCTTTACAAGCGCTGCTCAGTCCCAGCATTTAGCATTTCCCTGGTGACTTCCTGGCCTCTTCCTAAGGAAAACTCTCCAAATATCCAAGAAAGATCAGTTATGAGCCAAGAATAGGTAAAGCAGCAGAACCCTTCAGGGCCACAGATGCAGAGAGGCCGGGTGGGATTCCCCAACAGGGCTGCCTCTGCTGTCCATCTGCTCCCACCAAGAGGTCCTAGAGCTTGGCTGACAGTGGGTAGTGGAGGTGGAACATGGCAGATATTTTCTAGACTGCATCCCCTGGGCTTACTTTCCCTGGGAAAGAGCCAACAGCCTCCTGGGAAGCAGTTTCACCTTATGAGTTAAAGGGCACAGGACATCCCTCAGAGTGATGATCACACGCCTTCCTCAAAATCATCAAGGAATAATCACCAATGAACTAAAATCATCACTAATGAACCATGGAAGCTGTTTACACTTACAACCCTTCCAAAGTAATTTGGAGAAAACTTTTATGCCAAGAAAAGGGCACCAGAGCCAGAAGGAGAACATGCAGATCTGGGTGAGAGTGAGGAAACAGGACTTCTTCCAGTCTCTTGGCACGAGTGTCTCTTGGCAAGGACTTGTTGGCAGCAGTTGGGCAATTCACGATTATGTTTAAGCCCTTTGCTCCACTGACTCTACCCTCAAAACCTACCCAGAGAAATGCTGGCTTAAACAAACAAAGATGAGGGTGGAAGTTATTCCGCAACTATATTTATGACTGCAAAAAAAAAAAATTGAAAATAGTACAAAAATCCATCAACAAGAGAAGGCACAAATAAACTAGAGCCTCTAACCTGTCCTGGAAGGAACTCTGTGTAGCCATTAAAAGAACAAGAGCAAATGATTCATACTGTTATGAAAAGATATTCATAACTACATTGATTCAGTGAGAAAGCAAGTTCTGGAACAGCGTGTATACTAGCAGTCCCTTAAAAATATTTTCCTCGCTTGTCTGTCAATCTGTCTGTCTGAAAATATGCAAAAGGAAATCTGCATGGAAAACATTAACTACTAAGAGAGGAATGAAGAAATGGGAGAGCATGGGCAAACAGACTTTATATATTTGTGTATGATTTTCTTTTTCTTTTTTCAGTAAGCACAGATTACTTTTATATTATATTACTTATATATATTACTTATATGTATAAAATAAACAATGAACTAAAGGAAAAGAAAGGTCGCTCTGTGCTTTCTCCTAACTGAGCTGCCTCAACTATCATTCTGGAACTTGGGTGCTTGCGCCGGACTGATGCAAGTCCACCTCCAACCTACAGCTCGAGGATACACCTCAGGGACACCACCCCACGCTTCTGGCAGAGCTCCCTGCCCTCAGCAGAGGGGAGTCTTTGATCTGCGTGGCTCTCAGAGATGCGTGTTCCCTTGGAAGATAGGATTAAATGAGCACCTGCCCAAAGAAGGGGGAGGGGGCATGCATTTCAGAACCAATCTCATTAGAAGTACAGTCTATGCTGATGTCTGAGAAAGGGTCACTTACGGCTGGCATGGTAATTCTAGTTGGCCAAGCTCAGGGCAGTATCTTACAGTTATAAGTACAAAAAAGCCAAGATCATCGCTTCATGAGGGAGGAGATCGAAAAGCATACTGACAGGAAGGACATTGCTCCTGGCGTAGACTGAGGGCACAATCTCTGATTCAGGGCTCCTGGCAACCTTAGGGGTACAGGCATGGAGTGGGTAAGGCATCCTCTGAATGTTCAAATACTAAACAAGGCCTTAAATGTGCTGTGATTTTGAGAACTGTAACATTTGTAATACTTGAACTCTATCCATTGCATGACATCACACTGGAAATGACCAGGACACTACCTTTTATACATAACACCAAAGTCATTTGCAAGAACATCACCCTGCCCTGTGTGCTCTGCCTCCCAGGGGTAAGGTTACTCCTCCTTCAATCACATTATTTTCTTCTTTCTCTGTCATATACAAGGAATCAGATGTGTTTCCTCCTAGCTATCCTACAGTACACGAATCTTCTGCTTCTTCATTTTCCTGTTCTTGCACAAAATGACATCAGTCTTTTTCTTCCCTTAAATCCAGACCTATTTGTTATAAGTAGATGCTAGCACCTGAATGCTTCGTTATGTCTCTTCAAGTCATATGGTCTGAGCATTTGCACAATGAAATACACATTTTTTTTCTATATCAGTACCGGGGATCAAACTCATGACCGCACACTTGCAAGGCAGGCGCTTATGCCGCTGAGCTAAATCCCCAGCCCCAAAATACACATTTTATTAGAAATTTTTTTTCTTTTATTTCTCCTTTATATTAAAGTTAGGTCATCAAATTGATTTTTTTTAGTTATGAATATTAGGTAGGATTTTTTAAAGCCCTATCTCAGGATAATAAATGTATTTAATATTTATTATAAAAGGGGGGCATTGGGATGGATGCTGCTGAGAACCACAGCACTCTGAGAAAACATCATCTCCACTCAGTTAAGATAACTAGAACAGCCAAGATACACTGAGTGTCACTTGGGTCACTCCATGAGGTACCTTACCCATGAGGAAACCGGGTTCTGAGATGTGAGGGGCCAGGTTGTCTGGCTCCAGTGTCGGAGAAAAGCTCAGATTGCAGAGAGCGTAAAGAGCAGGAGCTTGGGCTGACTAGTGCTCCCCACAGTGCTTTAAATGTGTCTGCACTGGATGTCAACACCAAACACCTGGGGAACATTACCCCTAAGTCTCTAGCTTCTCTCTCGGTTTTTTGTTTTTGTTTTTTTTTTTTTTTTTTTTTTTGTCTTTATAGGTACCAGGGATCGAACTCACGACCTCACACTTGCAAGGCAGGCACTTATGCCGCTGAGCTAAAATCCCCAGCTCCAGTCTGTAGCTTCTCTTAAGAGATCAACAGATCTGGCTACAAGGGACTCACATTCTACATGACACCCAAGGCAGATGGTTTGCAAAACAGGGTCATAATCATTCCTCTCCTTATCTCCACAACTCTTTAAATGTGAATTTGGAGGCCCTCCCACCAAGATGTAGCATCTATTTTTCTCCCCTAGATTTGAGCTAGCTGTGCCAAGTAATCTGAAGGACACTGAGGCTTCTCAAGGCCTTGTTGTTACCACTGAGTGACAGCCTGTGACCATCATAAGAACAGCCAGCCTGAAGGAAGAAGAAACTTGTGGCCAGAGAGGAGCCAGCTCACGTATCCCAGATCGTGAAAGGGCCCAGCCAAGATCAGCAAAGCCCCTGCAGGGACTGCAGATCCACTAGGTGCTCAGCCATAACCAGAAGAATCTTTCGCTGATCCTGGTTAAATCGCTGATGTGCAGAAGCATGAGTTAAATAAATGCCTGTTTTAAGCCGTTATGTGTTGGGGGTGGTTATCTGGCAAGAGCTGCTTCATGCAATAACAGCCCCTCAGGCTATGCGGCAGCTGCCCTCCGCAGGGTGCCCGGGTGTCCACTCTTCCTTCCCCAGCCCAGCTCTGTGCTTCCCGGGCTCCTGTCATCTGCCTCACTGCTACGGAAATGGATTTGGAGAGTTTGCAAAGCTTCCATTTGTAAGACTTACAGGTGGGAAATGAGCAGTTATTTATGAGGCAAGAAACTAGAAAATGGGTACTTAAAAGAAGAGATTTTGGTAGAAAGAGGGAGATTGAGGAGAAAAAGAAAAAGTAGACAGGTTAGGAGGAATCCCAGGAGACCACCTCTTCTAAAGCTACACTGCTATTCTCTTGCTGGTAAAAGAGATGTCAGCATAAGATAAACTAATAATAACCTCTTTTCCTCCACTGCTCTGATTTTCAGAAAACAATCTTCATTTACCTCCACGTAGTAAGCTTGCCCTAGGGAAGGCATAATCCTTTTTCATATATGGAAAAGAAGCAGAACAACTTGCAGGAAAGGATGGATAAATGACTCTTCAATATACAAAAAGATGACCTCCCTAAATCATAAGATAAATACAGGAAAACCATCTAGAGATATCATTTTTCACCTATCCCCTATACAAATATCCTAAAATTTGATAACATGTTCTGGTGATGGGTCTGTGGGGGAAAAAGTTATTCTCATCTCTTGCTGATGGGAATATAAAGTCACATGGCTTTTACCCAGGATGATGCTACAGTTTATCAAAATATTCCATACACACTTCCTTTGACCTAGCAATTCCATTTCTGGAAAAGAATGTCACAGTTAAATATGCCCCAGAATGAGACAACTTACATTAGTGAATAATGAATAAACATTGTAGCACTGTCTCTAATATCAAAAGAATAGGAACAAATCAAATGTCTGTCCACTCACAGACACTCATCAGATAAACTGTGGTCTAGCCACCTGGTGGAAGGATATGCAGGCAGTCAAAGGACATGGATGTTATGTATTGTAATGCGACGACCTCCGAGAGAGATAGAAGCATGGCAGGATTAAAAAAAAATACAAACTTTCATTTAAAAGGCAGAAAACTAAGATTATTTGGAATTGCTTGTATATACAAAAAGGAACTACACAAAGATACATAAGAAATTCTAAATGGTTATCCTATCTTTGGGGTGGTGACTGGGTAGATGAAGGGACAGTTGGGAAGGTTGTTTTATTTATTTATTCTTCAATATATAAATGTTTATGTCTTACAGTTTTTGAATCATGTAACTATGTTGCTCACTCAATGTCTTAGACTTAAAAAATATGTTCCCTGCATTTTTCTACCTGGATTCCCACCCACAGACGCCAGTTCTGGACTGTGAGGCTCCTGGGAGTAGTTCTGACCTTTTTCCATGGCACAGGACTTAGTTTTCCGTAGAGAGGGGAGTCACGGTGATACACATCTGCTTCCCTTCCCCGGTACTGACAACCTCGCTTCCACCACATCACAGTCCTTCCCTAAAATTGTCTAAGTGCTGTCCACTACACGTTTCTGTTCTGTTTCTCTGGGTATGTGATAGGATTCTGTGTCCTGACTCCTGGCAAATGGACAGAGCAGTGATTAGCCTAGGCCAATACACCCTGAAAAATATTTCTAAACTAGAGCATTCAAAACCAGCACTGGGCCTCTAGAGCTCCAGTGTCCTCTGTCAGTTACTGGCAAAGCTTCAGATAGTGGCTGCATCTTGCAGTGAGCATGAGAGGAGGGAAGAATGTTTGGAGCATTTCAGAGTTTAGATTTTAGAGACATTAACCTGTACTCTACTTAATGAACACTAGCATCATTGCAGAAATGATAGCAGAGATGCTCACATTTGGATAACACTTTAGAGCCTAAAAACATGCAGCGTAAAGAAGATGGAAACCCAGGTCTGAAACTCCTGAGATTTGGGAGCTACTTGTCTCAGCAGCAGGGCCTGGCACAGCCTGACTGATAACTGACACACTCTGGAGCACTTTGAGCATCCGTAAGTGAGCCTGAGACAAACTGTCAGGCTGAATGGTCACACGACTCACAGCACAGTCTGGACGATAGTCTGGATCTCCCGCTGCAGCTCTGGCTCCTTCTGGTACGCTTCCAACAGCAGCAGGGCCTGGTCATAGTTGGCACAATAGACCTTGTAGACTTGCTCAAAGTCCTCTTGGAATCCCAGGAATAAGTTACCTGATGGGGACCAAGCAACAGTGGTTATCAGGCGTGTCTGCATGTCCTCTTGCTTGGAACAGGTAGGTAGTAAATGAGCCATCCCCACACTTTGCAGTGAGCCTGCCAGGCTTCCCATAGGCAAGCTGTCTCATCTTCAAGTTCCTGTTCTGCACCTCAGTTTTATGAATTGCAGAATGGTGTAGAGTACAGGCTGCTGACCTGTGCATGCAGGTTAAGTAACCCTATGCTTAGAAGCAAAACTGCTTGAATTTTGAGTTTTTTCACATTTTGGAATATTTACATATACATAATGAGATATCTTGGGAATAGGACCAAAGATTAAACTCAAAATTAATTTATGTCTTATGCATTCCTCCTGCCCCTAGCCTAGAAGTAATTATATTCCAGATATTTAGTGTACCTGTTTTCTTTTTTAAACATTTTCTTATTTGTGAGAGAATAAAACCAAACAAAATAAAATAGAATAAAGCCAATCAAGACAAAACAGTGAAAGTGATACAGGACTTCAAAATAAGATAATAGGAAATCAACAATAGCTGCCATAATGCCTCTTGTTATCTTCAAGATAGCCTGCCCATGCCATCAGGCATAATAAAATCAAACCAAACCCAACAAAATAAAACCAATCAAGACAAAACAATGAAAATGATATAGGTCTTTGAAACAAAATAAAAGAATAGGGAATTACCAAAGGCTACCACCTTCTCTTTTTAGATGTGTCCTCATTTTCTTTCACAATATCTATTGTACATTTTGGACCCCACTAACTCCTTCAGTTTTTTATACTAGGATAACACAATATTCATCTGTGTGGGTCTAAACCATTTCACCCAAAAGCATGGTCACAAGTTGCATCCATTTACCTACGTGAGCCTCATGATATCCTTTATAACTGAGTAGCCTTCCGTTGGATAAAAGTAATGTATCTTTCTTATCCATTCTGCGGTTTATGGGCAAGCTACCCCTGCTTTTTTCTGGTTCCCCGTCACATGCAGCACTGTTTTCTGTCCTTTGACTTTCAGTCTATGAATTTCCTTTTGAGTTAATGTTTTCTTGTATACCACATATTGACGGATCTGATTTCTTGATCCACCCTGCCCGTGTTTGTTTTTATTGGTGAATTGAGGCCATCTACACTGATGGTTATGGTCAAAATCCACTGGCTCATCTCTGCCGTGCTATTTTCCTGCTGCTGGCTACCTAGTTTCCCCCTCCACTCAACTGTCTGCCCCACTTGGTGATTCCACTCTGCTGCTGCTCCTGGGGCTGTGGTCATTTTTATTTCTCTCTAGAATGTCCTTTAGTACTCTTTGTAGGGTTAATTTGGTGGTCATGAATTCCTTCAATTGTTCGTTGTCATGGAAGTATCTTATTTTTCCATTAATTTTGAAAGATAGTTTTTCAGAGCACATCAATTTGGGTTACAAATTGTTTTCTTTCAGTACTTGAAATACTTTACTCCAGCCTCTTCTTGATTTGATGGCTCGTGTTGAGAAGTCTGTTGCGATTTTGATGGGCTTTCCTTTATAGGTGATCTGTTTCTTTTCTCTGCCTTTAATATTCTGTTCTTGTGCTGAGTTTCTGAGATATCTCGTATTATATATCTGGGTGTAGATTTCTTTTGGTTACGGCTAGTTGGAGTTCTATATACCTCACTTATCTGCATGTCAGGTCCTTTTCCCGTGCTTGGGAGTTCTCTACTATGCCTTCTGTAAATAATCTCTTTATGTCATTTGTGTCGACTCCTGCTTTTTTGCTGACACCTATCATTCTTTAAATAATTTTTCTTTGTGTCATTTTGCAGCTGTTGAATTGTTATTTTCTAGTTCCTTGTTATTTCTAAGAGATCTTTCCTTTTGCAATCACTAGCTGCTCTCCTGCCTTCAAGATCTGAAAACCTATCTTCAAGCAAAACCTTTCTTTCAAACAGTTTTGCCAGCTTTTTAAATTTCCCAAATATTTCTTTGAGTCTGTTTCATGCATTCCAATTCTTTTCTATATTGTTTATTCAAGGTTTCCCTCATTTTCTTATGCTCTTTTTTGTTTTCTTTAGATACACTCAACAACCCTTTTGTGATGTTTGCCATTTCTTCTTTTACTTGAGATATTACTTCTGATCTGATTTTTTTTTTCAGTCTCATGAAGTAGTTTCTTTACTACCAGAAATTTCAGGTGTGCAGCTTCCACTTTCTTTCATGTCTAAGTCTCCTGGACTTGTTTTGTTTGGCTGGAGATCAGAGATTGCCCTTTGCTCCTTCGTCTTGACATTCTTGCTGGGCTCCTCCCAACAAGCCAGTTGTGGGGTCCCAGATGCTTTCGGTCCACAGTGTAGGGGGATGGGTCAGATAATCCAGGTTCCCCATGAGGTGGTGGGGTGCAGGGTGACACTCTGGGCTTCTCCACAGTGTGGCTGGCTGGTTCTCCTGGCCCACACTGGCTACCAGCAGAAGAGTCCCAGTGGTGGCTGGTGTGCATGCCTGTACCTGAGTTTTCACTGGGAACTGTCATATGAGATGTGGTGTGGAATTTTATACTTATGGCATCAAATCAACACTCAAAAAGTTTTGGACTTTGGAGCAATTAGATTTTGGATTTTAGGGCGATTAACCTGTACTGTTTTCTACTTAATGAATGTTAGATATGATTGCAGAAATGACAGCAGTGGCAGTGCTGCTCACATTTGGACAGTGCTTTATAGCCTAAAAACACACTATGCCCATTAACTCATGTTATCTTTACAATTAACTATATATGGTAAGTAGTCAGGAACCCCAGTTTCCAAAGACATGTAGCACAGTTTGCATAGTTACGAGTGAGCAAGGATGTTGACATGAGAAAAAATGAAGGCCCAATCTCAGGGTAGCCCTTCCCTAGTCCTGTAACCTGGGGAGGTCTCTGATCCCTCCAATCCTCTATTTTCTCATCTACAAAATGGAGATGAGATTAGTACTCAGCTCCAAGAGTTGTATGTATGAAATAAAACAATGTACATAATTCATCTGTTGTAAATTCATTCACCAAATATTTGCCAATTGCTTATTTACTGATTATGTACCAGGTACTCTGCTAAGCTCTAGGAACAAAATGAAGCCTTGCCTCACAGAGTTTATACTTTAATACAGAAGAAAAATGATAAATAAACAGAGTTGGTCCTCCTTATCTGTGGGTCTTGCATGCACAGATTCAACCAACTAGGGATTTAAAATATGCAAAAGAAAAAAATATGTCTGTACTAACCATGCACAGGCCTTTTCTACTGTCATTATCTCTTAAACATTAGCATATAATGATTATCTGCATAATATTTGTATTTTATTAATCATTATAAATAACTTAGAAATGTGTACCAAATCCCCACGATGAATGTAATCGTGTACTACAAACATGTACTGATAAAAAGTTTAAAAATTAAATTTAGAGATATTTTGGGTATACAGGAGGATGTTTATAGGCTATACAAATACTATGCCATTAATATAAAGAACTCGAGCATCAGTGGATGTTGATATCTGTAAAGATCCTATAACCGTCTCCTGCAGATGCCAAGGGATGGTTGCTCACTACGTATATCCTGAGTCATATGAATGAATTAAACCAAGCCGAACAGAGCCAGAGGGTGTTAGGGTTCTATTTAGGGATGGTCTTCATGAAGATGTGGTATCTGTCAGAAATCACAAGGAATCCTTAGGCGGAGGCCTAGAGAGGGCACGGGGGCAACAGCAAGAAGGTAAGAGCAACTGAGGGAAAGTAAGCAAGGTTATAAAGGAGAAGAACAAGACGGTAAGTCAAAGTCACATCACCCAGGGGCTCAAAGTGAGGGGCAGCAAGGTGTTGCTTTATTCTGAAGGTGGCAGGAAGCTCTCTTTGAGCAAGAGAGCTGGGATCTGATTTCTGCACTGCATTCGTTAAAGCTGGAAAAACACAGGGAAGACTTGCATAACCCCAGTGTAAGAACGGCTGCTAACGCATGAAGTGTTCCATATTCTAAAATCAGAAATGAAGGAGATTGGCTGCTTAAAAGGTGTGAATGGAACAGGGTGGGAAGAAGGAGGAATGGAATGCACAGCAGGAATCAAAGAGAAAAAGCAACAACCCACTGAAAACACCTCTCTGTGCAGCTCTGACTCTTGAGATCATAGCAGTTCATCTATCAGCCTAAAAGTGCTATAAAAAATGAAGTCCAGTAGTTAAAAAAAAAAAGTCCAGTCCCATGCTGAGATTAAACTAAGGGTCAAAAATAAGGACAGAGCAAGGTGTGGTGGTGCAGAACTGTAATCCCAGCCATCTGGGAGGCTGAAACAGAAGGATCCTGAGTTTGAAGCCAGCCTGGGCAACTTAGTGAGACTCTTTTCAAATTAAAAAAAAAAATTTTAAGGGGGAAGGGCTGCTAATGCAGCTCAGTGATACAGCTCTTGCCTAGCATGCATGAAACCCTAGGTTTGATCCTCAGCATCACAAACAAAGTAGTAACAGAAATAGTTACTAGGGACTGGACATGGTGGTGCACACTCAGCACTCAGGAGGTTGAGACAAGAGGATACTGTGAGTTTGAGGCCAGCCTCAGCTACATAGTGACTTCAAGGCCAGCCTGAACTGCATAGCAAAATTTTATCTCAAAAAAAAAAGGAAGTAAGAAAGAAAGAAAGCAAGAGTTATTGGGGGCTAGGAATATAGCTCATCAGCACTGCACTTGCCTGGCAAGTATGAGGTCATAAGTACAATTCCCAGTACAGAAGAAGAAGGGGGGGAGGGATAACAGAAGGGGAAGGGGGTGAGGGAGGGGAGGGGGAGGAGAAGAAAGAGTTATTAGGAAGGTATTATAAATACTCAGACAAGAGAACTTGGTGGCTTTCCAGGGAGGAAACAGTAAAGGTAAAGAGGACTGTTTTAACCACACCACACAAATAGGAAGCAGGGACTAAGGACTAAGGAAGTCCAGCTAACCCATCAACTGACAGAGTCATCCTCTGACCAGGACCAGCCTCCCTTGAGGCACGGCAGCCAATGTCAAGAGAAGCACAGTCCCACTAAAAGTCCCCAGAGTAGGATTAGTGCCACAGGACTATGCCCCTTCCCTCATGCAAGTCTAGTCAATCCCAAGAAATAAGAGTTTCCCAAGAGAAGCTGCCAGAGCCAGGAAGAGAGAAAGATGACCCAAAGCTACAGCTAGGGAGGGTCTTTGTGACTGTAGGAGGTCAGCTGCAAGTCTCTTGCAGAAGTGACCCTGGAGTATGACAAATGTTTTAGGGAAACTATCTCGCACCAGTGTGGCTCGGGCAAGAGTGATTTAGTCCTTGGAGTGTAGGGAAGATGAATGCCCAGAAAGTGAGACAAGATACCAAAGGAAAGGCTTTTCTTTTCCTTTTATCTTTTCATTTTTGGGAAGGGGAAGGTCTGTTAAAAGACTGCTTGAGGGCCATAAATATAGTTCAATAGCATAAGCACCTGCCTGGCAAGCGCAAGGTCCTTAAGTCCTAAGTTTAATTCCCCATACAAAAAAAAAAAAAAAAAAAAAAAGACTGCTCAGACAGCTTGCCTGAGGTCTAAAAATCTTTTGAAATGCTTTTGTTATCCTTTGGAAAAGGGCTTCCCTTGCATAGTAAGAGCCGGCAGGAGCCAGAGTAGTGACCCAGTATGTAGTTGCACTAGAGAAAAGAAACACCATGAGGGTCTGTAGTTTCAATGTGTACCCCAAAGTTCATGCACTGGGGACTTAATCATCCACGCAACAATGTTGAGAGGTGATAGGGCGTGGGTACCAGACATCTGTGGGCTGCTGCTCTCTCTGACAGACTCCTTTTGAGCCTCACTGCCCTGGAACGCTGGACAGCTCCACAGTGACTATAAGCTGAAGACATTTCCACAGGAAGTGTAGACCAGCCACCCACTAGGTCTTTTGCTCACCAATTAGGTACACTTGCTCCTCTTCCTTGGAGGCTGTCTCCTGCAGACCATGCAGAAATTTGCTGTTCACCTGGATGATCTCATCGATGTTGGAGAACAGAATAGCCAGATCTCCCTGAGGGAGCTAAAAGGAACAAAGAAGTCACAAAGGTGGACAAGCATCTAGTCAGGGAGACTTTCTTTGCAGGCTTCGCATAGTGGTTCTAAACACCCAGCTCGTCATGGTCCACCACTTGTGGGAAGACCGACAGCCCTAGTGGAATGTTTGTTAGGGTTTAAAATCTTACAAGTTAGGTATTTTCATTACTCTACAAAAGGAGAGGAAGACATGGACATTCAGCACAGATGGAAAGGTCAGCTGGGGACTTATCTATCTTAAGCCTGTTGCCAATGTCATGTTTTTCCTCCCAGTTTCCCCATCTGTCATTTGACAGTGGGAAACCCAGTTTCTTTCCAGCTCTGACATACCTGACCTCTACCACCACTCCCTGAGAATGCATTCCAAACTCCACGGCTGACTAGCCTGGCTACACCACTGTGAAAATAGAGACAGGACATCTACGTACACACACAGGCACAGAAGGAGGTGCCAGAAGCACAATCAGGTAGGAAATGTATCTGCTGAGTAACGTGTACAGCATGTTCTTAGTTTTGCTAAAATAAATAACGGCATACATTCATATATTTTTGGTGCCTTCATAACTTCTGAAGGGTGAAGGAGGTATTTTATTCTCCACGCTATTTACTTTGGTATTTCATTCACTCAATAATCACTAATTGAAAGCCCAGTATTTATGTGTCAGGACTGGGACTATGTCACACTAACAGTCTGCCTGTCTGGAACTCACATCCTTGCAATTTTATAGTGAGAGTCTCTATTTCTCTAAACCAGAAAAAATATTGAAAATGAACACCAATAAAAATCCCTGAGAGTTAAATTTTCCATGTCACTACCCTGCAAATGAAACACACAGCATGTAGGTCAGTTTAAATAATCTGTTCTAAACTGGAAAAGGGCTTATGCATTAGCATACTTAGGGCTTTTTTTTTAATAATTAAGTTTATTGGTACAATTTAGATATGCATAATGATCACAAGGAATTTGTTCCTGTACATGATATATCTTAGTTCCTCTTTAAAGCTTTTTTGTTTGTTTGCTTGCTTTTGTGGTGCTGGGGCTCGAACTCAGCACCTTGTGTCTGTGAGGTAAATAAAACCTTTACCACTGAGCCACATCCCCAGCCCAGCACACTTAGTTTTTGCTTGTGCCTGTTCCCATTTAGCAGATGAATACACTAACACTGTGCCGTACAGGGCCCTGCTGAAGGTGACATGGCCAGTAACCAGCAGTCCTGAGGATTCTGTCCAGATCTGTCCGACTTCACACCCCTCCTGCTTCCTGCCCCAGTGACAAAAGTGAAGTCTCCGAAGCAGATCCACGTTTGCTCCTAGAAAGACGGGCTGTGAGTGGCCTCTCCCACGTACCTGCTGGAGACGGCTCCTGATGTCCGATGCACAGAGTTGCAGCATGTGCAAATAGGAGACCTCGGTGTCCACGAGCTCCCTGATGGCCAGGCTCTGATGGAGCAAGGATCTGTCCTTGGGGCTCTGAACATCACCATCCAGACTCTCCGAGGGGGGCTCATCTGCCCCACCATGGGCCATGTCTGCAGGTGCTGGAGAGACAAAAACCACGCCGACACTTCCAGAGAGGTCTACTGGGATATGTTGTCCTTCACTTAAAGACAACAATTCATCAACATGCCTGAAAGCATCTTTAGCTTCAAGCTGTTGGATGGCCTGCTTAGCATCTGTGGGCAGTGTTTAGACAGAATGAGGAACAACAGCTCAGCACACTGCTGACATTTGCCTTTCACTTTCTGAGACTCAGACAACGCGCTTTCCTGGCTTTTCTTCTATTTTCTCTCCAGCTCATGGCCCAGATTTCTTAATTGAGTTCAGCTCAGTTCCTCTTCCCCTCTCTCCCAGTGGCTCCTCCCTCCCACTACCCCAGGAGGACAGAGAACCTATCACCTGGGCTATTTCCACAGGCCCCACGATCCCCTTCCAAACCCAAGCCTCCCTGTGCCACTGCCAGCCACACACAATCATCTCAGCCTCGCTTGCAGGTTAAAGTCCCTGAAACAAAGCTCGGGAACACAGTGCTCCCTGTTGTAAGACTTTAATAGCTCTCTGCTGCTCAGTGATTCATTCAACCTCATTTTCCCCTCCAGCGGGAGAAGGCGGAGCTTTTCTCCACATTTGCAGTGTGGTTTCATCCCTTTCCCTTCTGGACCTGCTGTGCCCTTTGACATCTCCACCCCGCAACTTCATCCTTTCCTGATCCTCGCATTCCCATGCTACGAGCTGTAATTTTCTTCTCTAAAACTCTCAGTATCCCTTTATTTCTAAATTTAAAAACTACAAAGTATATTCGTGTGAATAAAATGACCTGGAAAACCCTCCTTACTTCCACTTAGAGAGGGCCCAGCAACTGTAAACCTCCCTCTTACTGCATGGCTGAACTTGCAAGCGAATAAAGAAAATCTTAAGAGCCAAACCAGGGGGAACCAGACCAGAGCAGGGAGCAGCTGAGTTCATGCAGCTGTGGCCTAGGGTGGAGACGTGGGCAAGGGAGAAAGCATGGGCACTCAGAAAACTTGGAGATAAGCTCCTTCATAAATTGGGGTCCCCCAGGGAAATGATGGATCAGCAGGAAAAAAGTCCACTCATCCTCACAAAAAGTGACAAAAGTACTTCTCCTTTTTGGTGTGTACGCCATATGAGTAAAAAACATCTCTGAAAATCTGTAACAGGTAAGGGTAGAAAATGGATGATCCCTTTCCTGCCCACCAGAAGAGTCAGGACCAACTCTTCTATAACAAAGACAAGTTAACAATGGGAAAGCATAACAAATGCATTTGGTCATAGTTGGGGAGGGGTTGTTTGTTTTGGTACTGGGGCATGAATCCAGGGCCTTCGCACAGAGCCACATTCTCAAAGTATTTTATTTTTAATTTGAGATAAGGTCTCTCTATGTTCCAAGTGGCCCAGGCTGGGCTTGAACTTGTGATCATCCTGCCTCAACTTCATACAATGTTGAATTCCAGGTCTGAGCCACCATACCTGACTAGCTACACATATTTGATTATCATTTTAAATGACGTGGGAGCCTTCAGTTTAAGACTCAGACTAAACTATCCATTTTTGTGCTGAGATTAAACAATCAGGACAGGCATGTCGAAATAGGATTAAAACAAAAGGTCTAAGCTCATGCTACCAGCAGAGGCAGTGAAGCAATTCCATGAGGCGTGTCTGTTTAGGTCCTTCCGGGCATCACTGTGCAGGAGTCCTTCCTCTCTGGTATGGGGCAGAACCCTTTCTGTAATGCAAGTTTCTGACCTACTATAAAACAAGAAAACTTCTTTTGACCAGCTTCTAGGCAGAAAAGTAGGGTGGGAAAAATTGAGTAATATTTCAGGATTTCGGGGGCTGGGGATTTAGCTCAGCGGCATAAGCACCTGCCTTGCAAGCAGGCGGTCGTGAGTTTGATCCCCGGTACCGATAAAAAGAAAAAAAAACATATTTCAGGTTTTCTGGCTGGCTTTGCGGGGAGGGACTGTGTTTTCATGACCTGCCCTGGGAAAGAGAAATTCTAATTTCTAAAGTTTGTCTGAGGCAGAATAAGGAAAGAGAAGGAAGGGAAGGAGGGCAGAAAGAAATCCTGCTTCAGAGGCCTACACTTCAGGGTTTCCAACCCCGACACAAGCCAACTGAGCTTTAAGTTCAGATTTATATCACATGTGTTCCAGTGTCCCAAAGCAGCAACGTTCATGTAAACAAAAGATGCCAGCATATACTCTGAGTGGCCACACTCAGAGACAAACAAAATGTCTCGAGAAGGATTACATCTTTAATCTAGGCCACAGATAACTTTGCCCTGTAAATGTGTTAAGAATCCAAAATTAGGGCTGGGGATTTAGCTCAGCAGCATAAGCACCTGCCTTGCAAACAGGCAGTCGTGAGTTCGATCCCCGGTACTGATTAAAAAAAAAAAAAGAATCCAAAATTAGAAGAATGCCATAGTGAACAAACAGCACAGAAACAACAACAGATTAGACCCCAACTAATCAGATAAAAGCTTAAAAAATGAGAGAAAAGGAAACATATTACCAAATAATTAAAGACACACATGACTTTGAAAGTGGCAAACAGAACATATAGAAATTTAAAAATTTAGTCTTTGAAATTAAAAATGATTTTGACAGATGATGAGAGCATTTAGGGAAAAAGAGAAAATAGGTCATAAGAAATTATCCAGACTGCCAAACAGAGAAAAGTATGGAAAACAGTGGAGAAGATTAAAGGATAGGGAAACTGATTTAAAAAAAAAAAGTCCAGGTAACAAATGAGTTCTAGAAGCTAAAAACAGAGCAAGGAGAGGCTATATTTGAAGAGAAAAGGTTAGGAATTTGTATTAGTCAGTTTCCCCATCTTTGGGACATTCCCAGAACCCACAGTTTAAAGGAGGAGAGGTTTAATTTAGCTCATGGTTCAGGCAATTCAGTTCAGGAAAGCTGGCTCTGAGCAGAAATGGCATTTTTGGAAGAGCAGGAGAGGACAGCTGCTTACCTCATGAAGAGTAGAAACAAGGTGCCGGGGAGGAAAATATACCCTTCAAGGGCGCACCGCCAATGACTCACCTCGGCCTAGCAGGTCCTCCCGCCTCACAGCATACTTAGCTATGAACTCATCAATGAATTAATCCGTAACACCCCATAATTCAATCACCTTTCAAAATCCCCATCTTGGAACATAAGGTTTTGAGGGCCATTTTAGATCTAAACCATAACAAAACTGCTCAGAATGTATAAAAGTTACAAACACTTAGATTTAGGAAATGCAATTCCAAAGCAGAAGTTTTTTTTGGTTTTTTGTTTTGTTTTGGTTTTTTTTGGTCTTTTTCGTTTTTCTCGGTACCAAGGATCGAACTCATGACTGCCTGCTTGCAAGGCAGGTGCTTATGCTGCTGAGCTAAATCCCCAGCCCCCAAAAGAAGCTTTTTTTAAAAAAATCCACATCTAAACATGTTGAAGAGAAACTGTGCAATCCTGAAGGCCTGGGGAATTTACTTCATACACTAATGGAGAATGTGTTGCACAAAAACAAAGAAATAAACCAAGAAAGAGGAGGATATAGAAATCTGGTGATGGAACACTGGAGGGGCCAAAAGAAGCCTGGGATATGTGAATGGAGAATCTAGGGTTGTGGGGCTGCAGATTTAGCTCAGCGGCATAAGCACCTGCCTTGCAAGCAGGCGGTCGTGAGTTCAGTCCCCAGTACCGATAAAAAGTTAAAAAAAAAAAAAAAAAAGAATCTAGGGTTGAATGCAGGCAGTGCCAAGCAGAGACCAGTCTTGTCTAGAGAATTCCAGAAGGTTCTAGAGTGTCTTGAGCATTGATTTATTCAATTAGTACAGAATCTGGTGTTTAGGTATAATTACAGTGGTAATACATAGAAAACTAAGAAATCAACCAACCAAACAAAATAATCATTGTAATAATTTTTGTGCAGAAAAGATAAAGGGTCCTGTCCTGTTTCCTGGAGCAAAACACATTACAACCAAGGGGTCAAGAGGAATCTGGACAGACAAGCCTTGGGTTCTCCTCAGTCTATTTCCATCATCCCATACCCTTTTTGTACAGTCATATTCCACATGGCTGCTATTGCCTCATCAAACCTAAGCAGAAATCAGATAGCTTCCCCTGCGTCTTTGGGTTCCTGATGTGAATGCTCTGGTTCAGGTGAAACTATGATTAAATACATTTGTTATGGTTTTCTCCAATGCATCTGCTGGCACTTTAGTTCAGAAGACTCAAATAGCAACCTTTTAGAGAGAAAGGTTTTGAAATTCCTTAAATATCCTATTTAAGGATATAAGATAAACTCTGAAGCAATCAGCTTAACAGGTAGAACCAATTGCCTGGTAAGGGCTGGAGGAGAAAGAAAGAGAGGAGGACAATTCTTGAATGAGCTGCCTTAGTTTTTAAAATAATAAACAGAAATATTTGTCTCTTTAAATTATATGCTTTAATAACTAATGAAAAAAAATTTTTTTTTTGTCTTTTTCCTTTTTATCGGTACCAGGGATCGAACTCACGACTGCCTGCTTACAAGGCAGGCGCTTATGCCACTGAGCTAAATCCCCAGCCCCTAACTAATGAAAATTAAACACTAAAAGTAAGAAAAAAATGAGAATTTCTCAGTTTGGTCAGAAATTACTAGTCAAAAAAATTGTATTCCTATATATACTAATAACATTAATAAGTATAATTTAAAGGAAGATAGCATAATTATAAAAGTTGTAATAATAAAGTATATTCCTTAAGTATATTAATTGTAATAATAAAGTTTATTCAAGTATATTAATTAAGCAAAATATGTATGAGATGCTTATGAAAGAAATTATAATAGTTTGTATTAGAATTTAGCTATAATACACCCTAAAAATTACTCTAAAGCTTTATATTTTCTTCATAACCATCTTCTACTTTTTACACTTTACTAATTACAAGTAGAAATGTAACATGATCATGGAGAGGATCATAACATCCAGTATCATAAAGATGAAAATTGCCCCAGACTGACTCAGCACATTTCCAATAAAACTCTCAGA